ACCATTACTTGTGGGGACAAACAGCCCTCGTGGGGACCACGAGTTTGAAGCCTTTTTGAGACTCAGAACGTGGTTTTGGTGTCAGGGTGACAGTTAGTTTATGGTCAGGCAGGAGATTGTGTTAGTTATACTTGTTTTAAGCTTAGGTGCACAGTGCAAGCAGCCGACTGGACCCTTGTTCTCCCTTCAGTCTCACAGCACGACTTATGAGCTCTTCCTTTGTTTGCATCATGCATCCACAGTCTTACATATGCCTATACACACGGAGGGATACAGAGCTTTTAATCCCTGTTTGTTTTTTAGATGTGGTTTTAGTGCCAGGGTGACAGTTACTTTATGGTTCGGTTTAAGCTAAGCGGCTAGTGAAAGCATAATGTCAATGAGATGTCCCCACGAGGATATAAATACAAACGTGTGTGTGTCTGACCAGTGTGTCCTGGTGGAAGTACGACAAAGCAGGAAATCGTCCTCGACTTCTGAACCTCGAGCTGCCCACGATGATGGCGGGCGTGGCCGACTTTGGAACAAACAGCTCTGAAGGGTATGTGTCACACACCTGCAGGACACACACACACACAGACACACACACACACACACACTGTGTTTAAGCTCATATGGTGCATTTTAAACATCATGTTACGATGATTCAAGCCGCTCAGCTGGTTCCAGCACAAACGCCACAGACTGAGACAAACAGCTGCTTTGCTAAAATCGTCCCTCTGAGAATATTTTCTGCTCCTTCCTGATGAAATATTCAGAGACCATCAACACCACGGGTGACCTGGAAGCCTGACTGGACCCTGAGCTGGATGGTGGTGCTGTGACGTAGCTGATGATGAGCTGTGAGGCTGGAGGGAGGCTCGTTTGAGCTAATCTACCAAACCTTACAAAAACTACTGACTGACTTAAAGAGACAAATATTCACAGGTTTAGACGCAGCAGAGACGGAGCTCTGCAAACTACACAAACACATGAAACGAGGGAAACACCTTCATCAGTCTGAGCGTGCAGACAGCAACGCTTAAACGTGATGAGCCGAGTCTGAATATGGCGAGTATTTGTAGTCAGACCGATGGGGACGGCCTCTGGAGCAGCAGCTTCGTGTCAAAGTGCAGAAATGTACTCATTATCTCTCGAACAATTAACATTGTGTCACATGATCACAACTGACCCTGTATTCGCTGTTTGCTGCCGTGGCAACCCACAGGTTGTTAGGGACGCCCATCCTCTTGTAGTCGGCCGCGAGGTCGATGAAGTTCCACGACTCCTCCCTCTCCTCTTTGTTCACGTTGGGGTTAAAGGACAGACAGTAGAGCTCGCTGTACTTCTCTGAGAGGAGACGAGGATGTAAAAATCTGTGTTTTACATGTGCACACACACACACACACACACACACACACACACACCTGGCCGTGACAGTCTGGCCAATGAGGCGTGGACGTCCAAGCAGTCTCTCTCCTGTGGAATGAATATCTGGAAGATCCGGAAGTCCTTACAGCGAAGGATCAGCTGACCTCCTGAGGGGGTGGGCGGCCTCTCCACGCTGCTCACCATGCTGTGCAATACCTG